ACTACCACTTTGAAAACATCAATACCATTGTAGAAATAAATCTATACCATTAGACGAAAACTACTAGTATAAACAATCTACCAATATAAATCAATACAATTTCAAAAAAATCAATACCATTGCAGATTTATTCAATACCAATACATGAAAATTAATACCATTACATGATAATCAATACCAATGCGACATAAACAATGCAACAAAATCAATACCAATCCATAAAAACACTGATACTTATTAACCAATACCAATACAATTACATCACTACCAAACAACAATATCATTGCGAAAAAAATATCAATAGGAAAAAATACTACTACTACTAAAAAATCACTACCAATACAAACAAAATATATACCAATACAAACAAAAGCTACCTCTTTTCCAGCCGTTGATTTTGCCCGATGAGATGCAGAAGAACAACAAAAGAGACGGAGGTGGTGACGCATTTGGCCTCGTTCCTGGGCTCCTCTTTGGATCCTGCGCTGATATTTGACGTGGGAATTAATATGTTATATTGCGACCAGTCGGCAGTGCTGTCGTGGAGAGAGAGAGAGAGAGAGAGAGAGAGAAAGAGAGAGAGTGGAGGAGGTGGGCTGAGGAGATGGCAAGGGTGGGGGGAGAGAGGGGAGGGGAGTGGAGGAGGTGGGCGGAGGAGAAGGAGAGGGAGCGGAGGTGGTAGCCGGCAGTGCTGCCGTCGTATAGGGTTTGGTTGGAGGGATGGTATATTAGGGTTTGGGTAGAATATATAGAATAATCAGGTGTGGACTCTTTTTTGCTTCCAAAATTACCCTGAAACAAAATTAACCGTGAGATTTAAAAAAGAGGAAAACAAGAAAAATGAACGGCAGATAATGATGTAGCCACGGTGGCTACTAAAATTTTAGTTGCCACCCTAACACATTCCAAAATACACAGCTACGAGCCGCAAACGGATAAGAACTAAGGGTGCAAAGATGTGCAAATACATCGTTATCAGGTTCATTATTTTAAAATGAACCAATATGTTGGTTGGGTGTAACCACCCACCCGAAGGGTCACATCCCTTCATTTTCTATAAATAACACCAACCCCCTCTATTTTCATACGCGAGTTTTCCCAAAAGGATTTTCGGCCGAAAGAAAGAAAATGTGTTTTTCTTCTTCATTAAATTTCCTCTCTACAAATGCATAAAAGAAACTAGAGTCGTGTGACTTCTCGCTGTTCGTTGCGTTCGTTGGTTTCTAGGGTTCCAAGTACCAGTATGCCAGAAAAGGTACGTTCGTTATATCCTGGGAGGAATAGTTCCATAACCTTGGGTACCATAGAGGGGAACTAAATACCTTAAGGAGAAATAGGAAATTCTATTGGCTCGGACGGTGTCTATGCATGTTGACGAATCTTGATTTCTTTATGTGACTTGTGTTGCAAGAAACATGTTATACGTGAACAATTTCCACAACACATTTCAGGTCACAACTCTGAATCTTGAAATTGTTCGAGCCCGCAAGCACCACTTTGCTAAACCATGGCTCATATTCGAGGCAGATATACAAATAGCATTACCTGAACCTTTCCCTTTCTCAATTGTCAACGCGGAGCGTCACACTGAAAAAGGTGCTGCTGGTATTCTGTCATTTGGCATGTCTCCATTTTCGTGTGGATGGTGAACATCTGAAAGAAATGTTAATATGCACTTTTAATATCGGTAAATTATTTCGGTCTCGTCTTCAGCTTTATCGACCATTTGTAGTAACGGCCCATCTGAGTCTGGATTATTGGTTTTCTGCAGCTATGATCAGTTTATCTGTCGATGGTGCTAGTAGGGATGCAAATGAGTCAAGTCGCTCGCGAGCAACGTACGAATAAAAAAAAACTCGTTCCACACTCGACTCGTTATTTAACAAGCTATCTCACGAGCCAAGCTCGAGCTAACCATGCTTATCTTGATAAGCTCCTTAGCTAGCTTGACTTGGCAACTTGTGAAGCTAAGCTCGCGGGCCGCCTTGTTTCGAGTTTGTGAAATGATTAATTACTCTTCTTAACATAAACATTATCTTGTTAATACGGATGTGTATGGAAGTTAGATGTTATTTTTAGTTTCTAGTGCTTTTTATATAGGCAATATACACTTGTATAGCCAAAACTTTCGCGTTTGTGCCAATAATAGCCAAATTTGGAGAAATACCACTTATAGCCACTTCCGTCCAATACTTTAACGGTGTTATCTAACAGGATGACTGGACTAACAACAGGGTTGAGAAATAATTACATGTGGAAAATCATTAAAATTTTATCCTTTAATTTTAATTAAATTAAAAATATATATATATATAAAATAGTAATCTCAGTTCTACCACCGCCTATTCACCTTCTCATCTTCTCTGATTTCAACTCTCTCCCTCCGTAAAACCCACAACCACAAACCATTTTATTTTCTCTCTCTTCTTTCCCCTTCTCTCTCCCCATCTGCAGTTTTTGTTCGATTGTTACTCTTCTTCTTTCTCCTCCCTCACTTCTTCGATCATATCTATTCCGCTGCCATAGAACTCAGTATCCATAGCAACTAAGTTGTACCGATCAACAATCTCCCGAATCAATTCAAACCCTCCCCCAACACAAATCACATAACTAAAGTCGAGAATGAAAAGCAACAAATCCAATCGAACCTAGATCTGAGAAGAGACCAAGCATAAGTAACAGAACCCCACCCTAGAAAAGAAGAACCCGATGTCGCTCTCAAGAGCACAATGTCGACGAGTGGTTTAAAAGGCTAAAGCTTTAATGGGTGTGATTCTGGCTATGCGTCGGGGGGAAAAGAGGCGAAGGCATATCGATTGGAGATCTGCTACGATGATTGGGATTTGCCCAATCTGGATCAACACCTAAAGACTATGAAATAGAATATTGAGATTGTCGATTGGAAGGAGTGGAGGGAGAGAAAAGCAAATGCGGATTCTTCTTCAGTTAACGGCCCGGGCAGAACGACGATGATGATTGGTGAAGAAATCCTCCACAAAATCAGAACTAGCCAATGACCCTGCTCCTTTGAATAAATCATCTGTCGCGGCTGTCACTCCTGGGCTAGGTTTCGCCTCGCCATCTCCTCTGCCTTCTGTGGGGCGAGCAGTAAAAAGAAGACAAAGGGGAAAAGAGAGAGGACGGCTACTATAACATGCGCTCTCCGATCGAGAAGCCGGAGTTCATCGGTGGTCGGGTAGATGAAGCTAAAGCGAAAGAGCAGGGGGGGAAGAACGAGAATGGTTTCTTTCTCACCTGGTTAGGGCTCGGCAGAGTCATTGTTCAGGGCAATGAGGGTACCTCATTCTTGTGCCGCCAGCTGAAGCTCGCCGTCGATTAAATGAAATCTGGCATGGTCCTCGACCAGATTAAAGGACATCGTCAAATCCGGCATGGTCCTCGATCTTTGAGGGTTTTTTTGTTTTTTTTTTTTTCAAACCTTTGGGGATTATGATACAAAGGGAAATAATCTTTTTAAAAATTAAATTATGACATAGCGTCTATGTGGCATGTTTGGTTGAGTTGTAGCTTACGTATGCGTTGAGGTGGCATCCTATTCAACATAATGTTAACCTAACTGACGGAAATTCTAACACCGTTAAAGTTTGTAACGCAAATGACTATATTTGGCATGAAACTTTCAAATTTCTGGCTATAAGGGGTATTTCTCCAAATTTGGCTATTATTGGCACAAACGTGAATGTTTTGGCTATACAAGTGTATATTGCCTTTTATATATAAATTCTCATGTATACACATTTTTTAGCAAGAATGATTTCAAATTGAGCTCATCTTGAGCCGAGCTTGTACTCGGCTTGAAAAGTTGTGTTAATGAGCATTTATCGAGCTCTACCGAGTCGAGCTAGAGCTAGATTATTTTTTTTCAAACCGTGCTCAAGTTGGATTATTAAAATTCGAGTTCGAGTCAAGCTGGAGATGAAAATCTTATAAACTAACTGAGCCCAAACTAAGCAAAAACTCGACTCAACTCATTTGCAGGTTATTATATGGAGATGTCGTGCTTGATAATCAACTAGCTAGTTTCTACATCTCTATAAATCAGGATAAAGAGATAAGGAAAAAAAACACTTCTGCTTACACTTAATGCTTACTGAGTGCACCATTTTATGTCAATTGATATAAACTATTTGGAACAATTCACGAGTGTTTATGCATCGTAGTTCAGTATACAAGCTTCTCATAAGCTTTTCTGTCTTCGCATTGTAAAGAAACAAACTCTAGAGTAGCTTCGCAACTATACACGTCTGTAGAGAGTTCGAATCGCCTAGGCTGGCATGTAGAAGATCGAATTTGTTTGCTTTTGTTTCTTTCTACACTAGCAGATAACCATCATATCCATACAATAGTAACAACACAATAAAAGGTACCAACAATTGACAAATCTATAACAACAACCATGTATGTAAACTGTATGTAAATTTGTCTAATACAAAGTAACCGTTGCAAAGAAGCACATAAACCAAGAAAAGTCTGGTTTTGCACTTTTGTGAACCCACCAAAACGACTAATAATGATGGGTGAATCAAAGGTAAAGACCACATCTCAAAACAACTGATAATGAAATGTGTACAAATTCCTCATATCCACATAAGAACCAATACCAACTAGAAAAGGGGAAAAAGTAATAAAAAAGCAACAACTAAAACCATTGCTAGACTACAATTAACTCCCTACCTCTGCAATTTTTCATCTCCCTCCTCCCACCCTCAATATCTTTAACTGGAATACTCTAACTTGGGACCAACGTCCTTGAGAGCACATATATGCTCCTCTACCATTGCAGCCATCACACTCACCAAATCCATCCTTGATATGGCAAACACAGTTGAAAGTCAATTTCAGAATATCAAATAACCAGTCGAAGCGTCTACATAGAACAAATCAAGAAACCCATTTACACACAATCTCCATTTTAGTTCAGAACGGTTCGACTTCAAATTAAGAAAAAATAAAACTCCATGATGCAATTGTCAACAAACCTAAGTAAACAGAGCCTCATCAGTGGGAAGCCTCAGGTCGTCCTTGGTGTTGCCATTATCAGTCAACAGCTCACCTTACATAGTTAGAGAGCAAAAACCGATTAATTAAATTCCCCAAAGAAAGCTGCCAGAAGGCATAATGTACACCTCACACAGGGAAAGTAAGGACAGTCACTTACTAATCCATCCTCCAGTATGTCAATCAACTGGTAATCAATATGATTCACATGAGGAACCTACAAAAGGTGGGAAAACAACAAGCAGTTTAGCAAGGAGAAAAGAAAACCAGAGAAGTTAGTGAAACTAGGATAAAAAAAAGGAATGAACAAATGGCGTAATCACAATTATGGGACGATGGAACAATATCTTCCAGCTTCTTGCCATTGAAGATATCAATTGCAACAAAGTGGCACTTAGCATGACCTTGCTTTCCATTCTTGGAGGTGGAAACTTCAACAACCTATAGACAATTATACGAAGAGTCAATTCCAATTCATATATACGGTAAAATGGCAAACCAACCTGCCATGCATTAAAGAAGTCGGAAAATTTTCACCAATATAGATATCTAAGGAATACAAGCCATGTCGCTCCCTACAACGAACCCTCAAGCTAAAGAAACTTGCTATTACAACTTATCTAATCGCATATACCATACAAACCCTAAAACGAATTCTAGAATGAATTCCAAGCCTTGGGTCAATCGACCTATTCATGAAACAAAAAGAAACCAGATTTCACATATAACTTAACATACAAACAGATCTAATCGAAGCCATTCCCCAAAATAAAAATGATAAACTGGAGAAAATCGAAGGTACCTTGCAAGGGCGATTCTTGATGACTATGTAACCATTCTTGTGATGGCTCCAACCTGCTGGGGTAAGTTTTGGAGGCTCAGTTGTCAGCATTAGACTCAAATTGATGCTCTTCGTTCGACATGGAGGCGAGATAACTTAGATGAGGGAAACTGAAACTGGAATGAGAGAGTAGCTTCTTGGAGCAGAGATGGTGGGGAGAGGAGGAATTTGACAGTATTTCGTCATTATTTATATACGATGGATAGATAGGATCTAGGGTTTGTAAATAAGTTCCTCCAACAGATATTTTCCTTTTAGGTTAAGAGGTGGAGGTGTGACTATGAGATCCTGGTCGTCTGATATCCAAATCAGACGACGTATGGTGAGGAGAATAGTTTAGACTTCAGAGCGCTCCATTTAAAAGACGCTAAACAAGATACGTGCGGGCCATCGTGGGCTAGTGTGGTTTGGCTAAAGGGAGAATTGAAAAATCCATCGAATTTAGTGCGGAGTGGAAATTGTTTTAGTGTCGGCGAGGGGTGTTCAAATGGTTATCATGGTAATTACCAAACCAAATAAGTCTAAATTCTATTAACTATGTAATACAATATCATAACCAAACCGTCCAAATTAATACAACAACCAAATTAACAAAATTAAAGTTTAATTGGTTAACCAATATAACACACATTATCATAAAGTGAGAAATTTTTTCGGTTAGTATATCGATTCGTAATTCGTATAATGAATAACAAATAACAATCACCATATAATTATAGCTAACCCTTAAAATAAATACATGTAATAAATACAATTATCTTACATTTGACTCTTGAGTGATTATGCAAATTATTAAGTATGCGTATATAATATATATGGCTAATTACTTAACTGATTAATTTGGTTTGATTGGTTAGGAATGTCTGAAACCAAACCAAACCACCTAAACAAAACAAGATAAAAAAATTAACCAAACTAAATTATCCAAATACTACCGGTTACCACGATAACCACACCGTTTGAACACCTCTAGTATTGGCCACGGAGTAACTAATACTATCCAAACTCAATCTCATTGTCAACATAAATCTGATATTAGCTCTTAATCTTGAAATAATTTGTACTAAAATATTAAACAAATTATGATTCATAATAATCATGAAGAGTGCGGTACCTCTCGGGATTTTTGGGTCGTTTGGTTTTGGTGATACTTAAATCTATATATTGTGATCAATGCATGCATTGTAATATACATGAAATTAAGGAAAATGATGTAATGTAGTTACCTTGTTTGGTTTTTGTGATAGTTATTTTAGCATTCACAAACTTGTAGTTCTTTTTTGTATCAAATATCACTTTTACCCTTGTTTTTATAGGTTATCACTAAGAGCAAAATTGAATGCTCCAGTTGTAGTAATTCAACGCATAACACAAACGGATGGGAAATGCTTTCAATAAAGCCACTTTCTACCCCTCTTTATAAGCAATGGAGATAGATACATGTATTCTACTTGAAGATACAAACACTAATTGCAGATGTTAGACCGACAACGGGACTTGGGAGGATAGACCGACGACGAAATTTTCAAGGGAGAGGATGTTAAATTGAGTGGGTGGTAGAGACATCCACAAAAAAAGTGGAGGGAACTTAACATGGGTGTTTCCGAGGAAAAAGTGAGAGCGGATTAGATAATAAAATTTCAATGTTATTATGGGAATATAGATCAATAACTATGGATATAATTGGAAGGAAAAAAAGAATCAAACAACCCCCACTAAACTATCTCAACAATCTCAAGCTTGACATGAGATAGTAAATAGTAATATCACTCATTTTGAGTAATTCTTTCCATTACATCAACAAAACAATGGATGCATTATTGAAGAAAAAAAAATAAAAAAAGCAATGCATTGTCGACAATGCACACATAGTAACAATCTCACCTAAATTATCAACAAAACCAAACGATGCCTTAGACAAATTAGGAGTACTTGTAGCGAGGACTGGCAATTTTAGCCAGCATGTATGAGGATGGGTCTCAGGACTCACTTTGGCTCGAGATTAGAACATAAAAAAAAATAAAAATGTTTATACAATTCATAATACTCAAATACAATACCATATATTCACTAGTTTCACTTGTTTACAACTTACTGTAAAGAACTTGCGACATATGTTAACCTTGCATATTATGTGAATAACTCTAGATGTTACATAAAACTATGTCTCTCATGATTTATTTTGAGTTTACTAATTCCTAATCTAGTCTCGAATTTTTTACCCTGTCAAACAAATCAGTCAACATACTATAAAATCGGGTCATTGGTTATTTAAATATTAAAATTTTTGACTTTTTTGTTGGGCTCACTTTAAGTGAAATGCTAGCTACGTCATTGCTTCACCACCCATTGTAGTCGTGCTTCTTCTCCGCCTTGCTCATTGCCTGGATCTTGAGGGTGCGAACAACATCCTCAAGAATGCAGGATAAACTCATTCATCCCATCCTTCACCATTGCCAAGCCTTCCACTGTAGCCTTCGTTGCTTCGTCAACTTATTGGTCGAGAACGCCAATATCCCTAGCCAAATATAAATAGGTGAGAATTTTAATTTCTCGAATAATTTAATTGCACTTACTATGCTATAGGATATAGCTTGTTTCTTGAATTTTTAATGAAAAGTCAACATTTCTAATAGTTTTCCTTTAAATTATATACTCATATGGGTTGACATGACACGACTCGAGCCCCATAATAAATTATACGACCTACCACTCGGCGGGTATGGGTATTTAGATACCCACACTGATCTACCATATTGCTATTCCTATCGAAAAGTAGTTTTGTAGCATCTATGTAATTCAGTTGTTATCCAGGAAAGCTGTGAACACGCACCATGCCACCATGGCAACCATCTACCAAGTCATCATGTCAAATTGGATGACAACCATGAGATTGGATGGTACCAACCAATTAGAGTCTGGATGGTATTCATGTTGTGAGATGACAACAGTTGGATGGTACCTTTGTAATGGGATATACCATTTATTGAAAGATTCGATGGTATCCATGTAAAAAGGCACGACGATACCATTCATTAAGCGATTGGATGTTACTCATCCCATGGGATGGTACCATCCACTTAGAAATTCATATAGAATGGGATAATGACTTCACTAAGAGGTTGAATCATATCCATGATATGAGATAATATCATCTACCAAGAAGTTGGATGGTAGAAAAATATAATAACCATGTTAGATGGTTACCTGACGACTACTCATTACCCACTAAAAATATGGCCCCAACTCAACAAATAGGACACCTACTATATATGAGCTGAACTATTTATAGCTAACCAACCATCCAAAAAAGTTAATGGGTTAAAATATTTTGGTGTATATAAATGTCTTCAATAATTTAGTTGATAAGAAATTATAAACTAAATTGTTGAAACTAACTGCAAATAAACTTGATTTGAGCAGTCCATGCTTGTGCTCCCTAATTGCATTTCAAATAATTCAAAGCCTTCTCTTCCATTTTTTATGGTCGGGTTGGTGGTTGTCAAGTTGTTTTAAATAAACCAAAGAACCACAATCTGGGAAAAAAATCCAAAAGTACCACTGTGTTAAAAAAAATACAAATATACCACCTAACCCAAAAAATTTCCAAAAGTACCACCATAATTTCAAAACCGCCACCTAAGGAGGCGGTTTGCATATGAACTGCGTGCTGATGTGGCGGTTCATGGGAGAAACGCATTAGGAGGAGGTGTTTTAATTTATTTATACAAACCGCCACTTGGAGGCTCGGTTTATTGGTGTCCCAACAAACAAACTGCCTCTTCAAGGAGCGGTTCTACGTCGACAATATAAACCGCTCCTTGAGTATGCAGTTTATGTTGTCGACACACAAACCGCTAGGGGAGGGAGTGGTTTGTGTGTCATCCCAATTCCCCCGACATCCGACATGTCCGCATGCATGGCAGACTAAAACCGCCCCCCTGCGGTTTTTAGTCAAAAATTTGCCTATAAAAGGAAGCTCTGAGAACCTCAGCTCCTCACTCTCTCATTATTCTTTTTCTTCATATTTCTGTTGTGCACCTTACTTTTTTAGTTTTTGCGATTAACGTTACTTCGTAAGTTTTTTTTATAGTACTTTTTATTGTGATTTTGATGGTATTAATTTAGTTACCACTTTATTGCAGATGTCATTTCAAAAGTTCACGCAGGGGTAGTTATAACACTACCATTATAGAGCTGATGAAGGTGCCTTTTATGATCCGAATCAGATGGAAGATGGCCTGCCATGTCAAGTTAGTGACCCTGAGGATGAAGAGGAGGAAGGTGATGTTAGTGCAGACAACGTCAACACTCTTGAAGGTGCTGATGATTGAGGCCCAGATTCAGATCCAGATGATGATGAGGTGTCTCGTGATCGTATACCTATCCCGTACTACAATCACATTCCAAATGAAAATTGGTATATTGATGCCGACATGGAGCCGCCAGATGTTCTAGTATGGGGTCCACTGAATTGGTTTATGAAGGGCCAACAATTTGCTACGAAAAATGAGGTATGGCACGCTATTCCACAGAAGCGATAACTCGGAGTTTCGAATGGCACACAACTCACTCCGACACGAAGAGGCTCATAGTTAGATGCCAAACCAACACGAGAGATGCAAGGCTAGGGTCCGGGCCATCAAGAGCAAGCACGTCGACCATTGGGTCATATCCCGTGCGGTGAACACTCACATATGTGTGTCATCCATAACATCCCAGGGCCATCGACAGTTGAAATCCAGGGTGATTGCTATCAAGCATCTAATTGAAGAAGAGCCCGACCTAAAGGTCAAAGCCATCATCGCCGACATTACTAGTCATTATGGATATATTATTAACTATAAGATGGTGTGACATGGAAAGCAGAAAGCAATGGATGCCTTTTTGGTGACAGGGAAGAATCATATGCAATCCTTCCTAGATTGATTTTGGCTTTGGAGGCGTCTAACCCTGACACTGTTTTCTCCCCCCGCTACCAAGATGATGAAATTCAACCGCCGAAGCTCGGTAACAAACTCCATTTCAAACGTCTTTTTTGGTCATTCAAAGCATCTATTGATGGTTTTCCCTTTCGTGTCCATGTGATGCAAGTCGATAGAACATTTCTTACCGGCAAGTACAAGGGAACTCTACTCGTTGCCAACGGAGCAAATGCAAACAGATGTGTCTTTCCTCTAGCCTATGTCATTGTTGAGGGAGAGAATACCAAAGCTATGGATGGTTTTTCCGACAAATTCAAATCCATGTCACTAGGAGGGCGAACCTAACAATCACCTCTGATCGCCATGTCGGGATTAGGGCTGCCATCTTAGGCTTGGATCTAGCTTGGAAGTGGTCACAAAGATGGTTCATACGGCACTTCAAGAGAAATTGGAACCATCATTTCAAGCAGAGGAAGCTTGGTGATAGTCTATGGTGGACCGGTAAGCGTTCTATCATCTAGGTTAATTAATTGTGTTAACTACGAATATATGCTTCAAATACAATGTCCCACTTATTTAGACTCTTTATAAAGAGATGCATGCTCAAGGAAATGGGGTCTTAAGCGATCATCATGATCCTCCCATTTTCTTGGAAAATCGGGTTCTAAGCGATTCTCAGATCCCCCCTTTTTCTTTTAAAAAGGCTGTGTTTCTAAGGAGATATATACCTCTCCTAAGGGCCTAACGAGTGTACTTGTATTGATTTAAATTATTGAAATAACCAATATATGTACCATTTTTGCCTACGCTTTTGTTTGTATATTCATCAGCTGTTACCTACCAAGAGAAGAAATTCAAAGAGAATATGCATAATATAAGTGAGCTATGCCCTGAAGGTGCGCAGTGGCTAGATCAACATGACTTAACCATGTGGACTTTTCATAAGGACTGAGGTAGCAAGTGGGGTATCGCCACAACGAACTCAAGTGAAGGTATCAACAACGTCTACAAGGGTGTTCGTGCACTGCCAATCTCTGTCATTGTTGAGATGACATACTGGAAAACGAACCAATGGTTCGTCAATCGGCTCCACTGGGCTGAAAAGAGGGAGGCACAGGGTAAGGTACACTATGACCGTTATGAATCAAAAACCGTTCCCCAAGCCCACTATTTTCATTCCCCAACATGCAAACCACACCCCGTGGTGCGGTTCTCATGGGCAGATGCGGACCGCTGAGCAGACGTGCGGTCTGCCGTCGGATCGCCCCTTTATCCAACAGTTAGAATAATCGCTGCTTTGGGGTGCGATTTTTGGGCTCCCTTAAATCGCTGCTTAGTAGGCGGTTTTTAATAAATAGTGATAGTTTTGGAAAAAAATTTATTTAGGGGTATATTTATAATTTTTTTAATGGTGGTAGTTTTGGATTTTCCCCCAAAATCTAGTGTTTTTTTACGAGCGGACCCATTGAGTTGATTTAGGTTTGATGAAACACAATCAAGTCAGTACAAGACTATGGGTTGTTTTGGATGAGAAATTCTAACAGATCAAATTGACACAATTGTTTCGTTTTGAGTCAATTGACTCAATTTTGGCAACACAAAATTTAGATGAAGCAATTTTGCGTGGAAAATTTCAAATTGACTCGCTTTTAGGCAATTACAATTGTCTTTGGTGGGGGCAGACAATTCAAATTGACTCATTTTATATAATAAGACAATTGACCAAATTGTCTCGTTTATCAATTGATTCATCCAAATGACCCTACGTGCTTTTCTCCCCTTCTGCTTCTTTGTGCATTGGTGGTATTAACTCTTTTAGTAATTTACTTATGCTTTTATAAGTTGTTTGGATGCAACAATTGAACTAGACAATTTGACACAATTATCTAAAAATGGAGTAAATAGGTAAAATGGTCTCGTTTGGCAATATAATTAGGAATGCGACAATTAGACCAAAACTATTTGAATTGCCTCATTTTCAATTGAAATTGACAGGGGACAAATATTGTGAAATTATGTGTGTTTCTGTGAGATGAGAAAATTGGGGGCAATTGTGTCAATGTCTTATTTCGGAGTAATTTGGATAAGCAATTCTAACAAATCAATTTGACACGTTTGAGAGCATAAATTTGAATGAATCAATTAAGTTAGAGGAATTTCGAATTGATCCATTTTATACAATTATCTAGGATGAGACAGTTAATTCATCTAGAATGGGATAATCTTGTTATAAATTAAGATAGTTGACAAAATTGTCCCCTGGCCTGTTTTGTACCATTCAAACGGCTCCCAAGTATTTTGTCGGTCTGTTGTGCTGCCTGACACCTGTCCATTTACCCTGGCAAAAGGAGGGGGGGAAACGTTTCGCAGGAAGAGCAGCTACTAGACCAGTAGTGCTTTCTGTTGGCTTAGTCATCTTAGCTAAAAGAAAGCAAGGCAATTATTCAGATGCACAGAGAGAGGATTCAAAAGACCAAGGGTCAAATCCCACTGCAAATTTAGGAAAAAAAAAGAATCTTCAGTACCCTATGAAGAGAGATAAGGGGATATATACAAAGGATTTAACACTTAAACAGAGCTTCTAAAAGCTCTAAATCATAGAAAGAGGTTTGATTGAACTTCTGATGCTGCCCATAAGCTTTTGGTTTTGCCTTGCCAGGTCAGTATGGGATCACCTGGTTCTTTAATCCGGGATGTAGAAATCAAATCTGACATCAACTGCACCAGATTGGTCTCCGGTTTCTTTGTATTCAATGTTGGTGATTGATCCAGTCTCCTCGGCATCTAAATACTCTGGCTTCACACGTCGAACAGGTACTGTGACCGAGTACATAGTTCCAAGGTCTGTGTCGGTGGTGACATTCAGTTGAACTTTATCCTGCGATTCGATCTCCACAAACTCTGACAGAGCATGCACAATGTTGTTGACGATCTTCCTCTTAGCCTCGTCGCTCACTGCACATCGGTCGGAGAATAGGATCATCTTCAATCGCTGTTTGGCAATCCTCGCATTTGAGCTCTTTCTCCGGGCAGGTGATGGGAAGACTATCTTCCAAGCCAAGTTCAAGCGCTCGAAGAAGTTCATGTTTATGGCATTCAGGAGAAAGGTCTCAGCATCTTCAGAGAATGAAGAGGACAGCTGATGATAATCTTCAGAAACTCCAGCCGAACATTTGGCAGGACCATGTGTGCTTCTGCGATTCTCAAGCATGATGATGGCAGGAGGACACTTGTGTGTTAGCTGATAAGAGGTCCCGGATCCTCCACTGGGAAAAGCATTGAAGTCCACCTAAAAAAAAGAGCACCAGAAAGGCTCAGTTTTTCCCCCCCAGCAACACATTTGCTTTGCTATTCATTGATTAAGCACTACACATGCTTAGTTCTTATTGCAGTTCAGCATTCACTCAGTCCGACTCATAGGACATGTAAAATACAATGTCAGTCAAACAACCATAATTTATAATATCATAGATTGAATTCATGAAAGTAACATTCTGAAGGAAAGGCCAGTTAATGCGAAAGGCGGACGTGTAAACATATGCAGTTCCCGACTATGAGATGAAATAATTAGAGAATGCCATCGAAATCAAATTTCAAGTTTGAAGAATTCCAACACCACCAGAGGAAAAGGAAGGGGCACCCGACCTACAGGTCATTGGTTATACGTCGATAGTAGAACTACTCAGTGTCCAAAAACTCTAAACTCCTATTATCATACAAACTGCATTGAAGATGCATACCTGTGTAATGCAAAGACCAATCCAATAACAGAGTGATCCGACAGCAACCCAAATATTAACAGAACACCGGGTGCAGCATAGAGTATCGGAGTTGTAAAATGCAAGTAAGACAACAGGAAGCCCTCACTAGATTTGAGAGCTCTACAACACTTTCAAGTGAATTTGGCGTAAACGACTTACAACCACCATGAGCAAGGTGATGAGAGAAAACGGAGGACAAGAAACATGTAAAATCCATGACTAAACCCTAAACTCAATACCCCAAATCCCTAAATCATATAGCAAGAAACAACTTCCCAACCAAAATGACAAGTGAACCAAACCTTGCAGCCCAAAATCCTCTAATGGAATTCCCAACCATAAGGGAAAGAAAGAATTCCAAACCAATCAATCACTTGGCTGCAAACACATAAATAGCTCATAGGGCTCGAATCTTCATTTCCCTCCAGGAAAGAAAAACAGTTCCACAACCACTTAAAATGATCCCAAGCTTTTCACATTTCAGTCTTTCGACAAAATTTGCAAGCATACCCAGCTGTTGAAACAGTCAAATGCGAAGAATTTCAACAAAACCCACATACAAGGGCAGAAGGAATTAATGATGGACATGGTCCAGAGAAGGCGAAACCAAGCAAAGGAAGCAGCTTCACAGAACCTTAGAAGTCGAAGAAGAATGGAAGCTTCGAAGAGGGTGCTTCTTAGGGTAAGAGGCTAGCGTTGTAGTGACTCTCAGATCCCCCGATATCGCCATTTTCGAAGGGCAAAGCTTCGTCACACGTCGTCTTCTTCTGCTGCTCGCTTTCTACTTTGACACCCAGTCTTTGGCACTTTGCTTATTGCTACCTCCGCCGCCTTCTCTCAACGGCCCAGAAATGATATTTTTAGCCTCTCACTCACATCCTCAAAACATCTCCGTCCCGTCCCCTTTGTTTCTTTTCTTATTCGATTCTCTATCAACCAGATTGTACAATTGGGATAATAGAAGATCATATAGTATACGTCTCAAAATATTGGGTATCAAAGAGTAAATGAACAACAGCATAAATATAGAGGCGAGCTGGATATCGTTCGTTGAGACTTGAGAGCTTGTACGAAGAAGAAGAAGAAGAAGGACGAGGACGAATCGGCCTCCAATCGAATTGGAATAACTGGTTTCAATATGCAGCTGCTAGCTACCTCCGGAACTCGAAGAAGCCCCAATCCTTCGAAACCTCAAATTTCAAGACCCCATTGATTTTTCCTTCCTCTTCGTCTTCCGTCTAGAGTTAATGGGTAGATGGCGAGCTGCTGCTTCGCTACTCCTCAATCACACTTCCAGAAGAAGACCCACAAAGACCCTTTTTGATAACCATCCATGTCTTTCGCTGAACCTCCATCGTTCTGCTTCTTATTCGTCTTGCTGTCGGCCATGTCAAAGACCTCCGCAGGGGTTTTATTCATTCTGGTTCAGGTCGTTTTCGGCTTACCCTTCTCGGGTTCCAGCTTATTCCAGCGACAATGAATCTGGGTCTCATGAGAATTTCCCCATGGAGCTAAAGGAAGACGAGAGCGACGTTGGGAAGATTCCGGTCAGAGCCTACTTCCTCTGCACCAGGTCTGTTAAACGCCTCTACGACCCAAATTTATTCAACTGTCTTTGTTGCTAAATCATGTTCTTGAATGCGAAAAGCTCTGTCCTCTTCCGTCAAGCTTGGATTGGGTTGTGTTCAAGTTATGCCTTTACCCATGTGGAGCTGAATTGCGGAGCTGTGGCATTTTTTTGTTTGGAATTGTAGTGCTTTATGTAATACTCAACTCAACAAGAATGGATTTGCGCTTCATTACCTAATGCATACCAAATTTAAAAGTTATCTAAACAATGTTGGTCAGTAAGGAGAGGTTTAGAATAATTGTTCCAAGATGGTGCTTCACCGTTGCTTCATATCCTGCAAATCTAATGTGCTATCTTTGATTTTAGTTAGGTAATTCTTTAGCAACATCGGTTCTCTGTAGCGACCTTCAATGTATTTAACTCACTTGGTTTTGGAATGCTGATAATCTGCTCAACTAGCCTCCTTTGAAGTCAGCTTAGACGAGGGCGATAAATAGGTTTGTTGTGCTTCAAGTTTTACTCACGTTTACTGTGTCCCTCTAGCTAAGTTGTTGGGATTAATTTTTGGAACTGTTTACTTCCAAAGAACTTACTCGGAAATGCAATTGTTTTCTTCTTGCTACTTGTGTTCTTCTTCTCCATATGCTTTCTGGTTTCACTTTGTCTTACCTTTACTGCTTTTATTTTTCCTCCTCGTGATGGTTCTCAGATTCGTCGTTTTGGCAGTATTGATTTGAAGAGCATGCAAGGGGAGCACTTAATCAATGTTGTTCCTCCTACCTCTCGTTCAACAAATTATATTGTCCTGAGATACTATGATTACCAACCTGAAATTACTGTAAGTAAAAGAACGAACTTGATCCTTCAAATACTCAGATTATTTTATGCCTCCTGTGCCGCTGCCACTGCCGTTACATTCATTCTAGGTATTGTAAAAGCTGTTATGTGATGGAAATATGGCCATGATTCAGGCACTTGGAATCAAAGAGAATGTGAGCTGTCGGTACATGGTTGTTTTCCAGTATGGTTCTGCTGTTCTTATCAACATTGAAGACCATGAAGTTGAAAGTTACTTAGATTTAGTGCGGAGACATGCTTCAGGATTGCTACCTGAGACAAGGAAAGATGGTAAATCTCTCTACTAAGATTCTGTGTGTGATCTGAATAAGTAGAGTCGGACTTTGTGCATGTCGTTTGAAAACAAGAAAAACTTCTGGCTTATTATCTACCTTACCTTGATGTTCCCGTTGTCTCTCAGATTATGCCATAAAAGAGAAACCATGCCTAGAAGACGACATGCAAGGAGGTCCAGACTACATTGTCCTAAAAACTTTAGATACTGACAGCATCCGTATTATTGGAAGTGTACTTGGCCAAAGTATTGCTCTAGATTATTTTGTTTCACAGGTAAGATGGTTTTGAATCTTCATTTAGCTTGTTGTTGGCTACAGAGAAGCTAATGTTAAGATTTCTACAAGCTATTCTGCAACTTTCACTTGTGTAAGAGCATAATTTGCCTCTCTCAGGTTGATGGAATGGTAGAAGAGTTTGCCGGCATAAACCGTGGAATGGAGAAAACTGGAACATTTACAATGGACAGGACAACACTCATCAAACTGGTGGGGAAGGCTAATTCTAATCTTGCTGACGTAATTCTTAAAGTTGGTCTTTTTGAAAGGTAATCAAAAGAGAAGAACCATAACAGCCATTTCCCAGCCTTGTAATTTGAATGAAAGCTCGGACCTAATTTGGCTATTGATCCAATCACATCTGCTTCTCAAGGTCTGAAATTGCTTGGAAGGATGCAAAATATTCTCAAATATATGAGTACCTTAGGGATGAATACGAGGTGGCTCAACGATTCGGAAGCTTGGATTTCAAATTGAAATTCGTGGAGGTTTGCTTTCTCTCAACTTTCTGAAACCAAAGTTTGCTTATTGCCCTTTTTTGGGTTTCTTCTAGCACTAAAAAAGACCAACCCTTTTTGCTCTGGCTTTTTTTCCTTTCTGCAGCACAACATTCATTTCCTTCAAGAGGTGATACAGAACAGGCGATCTGATCTTCTGGAGTGGTGCATCATCTTCCTCTTAACTTTGGAGAATGCAATATCAATATATGAGATAGTGAGTGGTTCTTAGGTTTGTTTGCTTATACCTTTTCTTTTGATAGAGCAGAATATGGTGAGAATCTAGGCTCATTATTAGTGACGTAATTGTTAAAGGAAGAATGATTGTTTCAGAGCCACAGGAGATTGAAAATTTTGTGAGCAACTCCTCCATTTTGTAATGCCACATTCTATCTAATCAAAGAAGAAATTCGCAGGGTTTGCAATTTCTGTTCATATCAAGGCAAAATGCCTTTGTATGGCCCAACTTCTTACCATCTGGACAAAAATGGTGACTGTGACCCTAAAATTTAAATGATGGAAGTTTTGGAAGATATGTAGATATGATCAACGACAGACTGTTCCACTTATTGGTCTTGTGGGTAAGGATGAAGACGATGCTTAAAAATTATTGGATGAATAACTCGCTCTTCTATACAATGTTAGATTAGGAAGACCCTAATTTTTATGTATTCGTCATTCGGTCACCGTAAGAGCAACCTATAAATCGTTTACAAGTTAGATTAAGAGCAACTTTCGTCTCTTTTTTTGCGTTCTTTAACGTTCATGTTGGCAAACTCTCTTTAATTTGCATGCTTTGTGCATAAGTTTCTAAATGACGAAGTCACGAAACCACTTATCAATTCTGCTTAAGTCGAGTAATTGTAGCATCAAATTGTATAAACATAAATCTTGGTTTAGACTCTGTAATACCCAATTCTTCTTCTCATCCCCTCCCATGAATGAATAGACCCTTAAAATTATGACTGATTCTAGTGGTGAACTCTGTATCTTCATCCTGCTCTAATAGCTTTGCAAGAAGAAGACGTGACAACCACCACAATAAAGATCTCCAGTCTCCACCACACGATAGCAGACCGACACCAAAATACACCTCGAGTGTCACTATCCAGTATCCACAATGGAACTCTCCACCATACATAGCAAAAGTGATGCGAAAACACAGTTGAAGTGTCAATATGAACGGTAGATCACTGGAAAGTTGGGATTCAATTTCAGTGAGACTTCATAGCCAAGCCTTTTCATACTATTCAATTATGGGCATTCGTTGAAAATATCTCATTTCGTTCAAAAGTGCAGAAGTTGGAGAAGCGAGCGGGTTTAGCCTTACTTTTAACTCCAGAACCATCTCATCATACAAATGTCTACAGATACCCATTAAGAACCAACTGGACACTTACAAATATGGGTCCATTGTGGACAAACATATTACCATATTTTGAAGCATTGATTGACTAAGCAAAACTCTGTTGAACAACAACAAAAATAGCTCATCGGACATTTGATCCCAAAAGGCAACATCATTACTGAACAATGATTCAGAATTCCTGAACCCGAACGGCTGCCTGAGGGGTGTCATACTGAATCCTTGGCCTAGATTTCTTTACTCCAGCAGCAGTGAACCAAACCTTATCAGATTTGTAGCCCTCAACAGCCACATTGGAAACCTTAACCCAAACCAGGAACTTTGTCTTCATTCCCTCTATGCCATTGAGCTTCCCCTTTGCAACGATCGCTTTTACTCGAGTCGAGTACCTGATCACGGAAGAGTCCTTGAAGCTCAACTCGCAAGCAGCAGGCAAGTGCACGACCAGCTTGGCCGTGGCATCATCGAATTCATAACAGGTTATGTTCTGAGGGAAGAGACCCGGTGGTAAGTTGTACTCTCGCAGCAGATCTGGCAAGCTCTTCAATGGCTTTCCTGAAGAAAAGTGAAGCACATATTCATAATAGTAAGTACTTGGTACCAGTAGAGATCAAGCATTAATTGGACTTTCAAGATAAGAAGGGTTTATCAGTAGATCTAGCTAAGTTCACTTGTATGATTTACTATATCTATGTTAACATGACATGGCATCACCAAAATTGAGTTCCCACAGCACAGTTCACAAACCATGAGTTCTAAACTGGCAGATAGACAAACACTATTTGAGGTTTCTACTTTTGATTCACTTCTTAACTCCTAATTAGAACTAAGATAAGCTCAATTAATGGAAGAGTTGCATCTTTTTCTCGAACCTTTCAGCTTGTTGAAGATCCATTTGGCCTTCTCTTCAACAGTGTTTGAGAAAGTCTGCAATCACGTCACAACCATAAGCAATTGGTAGCTAACATGAAACAAAGTTGCGTTCACTTTCGAAGCAAATAAGTTACTTTGCAGGCAATTCTCAATCAGCCATTGCTTCAAACCTCAGCAAATTAGACAGTGCAACAAAAGTAACAATGGGAAACCAAACTCACTTCTTATCAATAATGAAGAAACAAGCAAATCCCTTCCCACACCCTAACCCACAATACCACAGAATAGATTACATTGTTACAAAGGGAACCCTCATAAGAATCCCACTCCAATCACTTAGGAGAGCCAAAATTTCCATGGATCTTACCAAGAAATAGCAGGAAATCTGAAAACCAAGAACTGGGTACTTTCAAATCAACCCACATTCCACAAATCACAACCAACAAAAGAAAGAAAGGTACAGAAAACGTTAACTGAGAAGTAGTGGACTTACTGTCAAATCATCACTAATATTAGTGAGCTCTTCCTTAGCTTTCTTCGAGATCCAAGAATTGCCAAGCTTCAAGCTGCCGACTTTAGTGAGTGCCTTGTCCATTTTTTTTTTTTAATCTCTGGCTTCTGTTGAGCTACGGCTCAACCCCCTTCGAAGGAAATGGAGGGGGAGCGAGCTCAGAGGGGAATGTGATACTGAGAGGAGAAAAGACTGCAACTTTGTGGCTCCTTTCCTAGCTAGCTTTTTGGAGGGAGGAGAAAAGAAGCGGAAGGAAGGTGGGAAAGAGAGGAGGAGAACATTGTGAAGCTGGCAAGCATTTAGGAAGGGACAAAAGTTCTTCAGGCTGTAGCCTGTAGCTTTCCGTGGATTGGAAAAGCGGCGCCTCACACAGTTATCGAGATTAAATTTTGGTTTAATTGCAAATTTGGTCACTATAATTACTAAAAAATTTATATTTATTACTAAAATTATTTTATTCTATTTGTGTTCATTATAAAATTAGTTAAACAGTCAAAGTTTGGTGATTTTCTGTTATCTTACGTACGCTCTATTTCTGCGTTTACACTTATTATTTGTACTTCGATATATTTCGACTAATCAGAACCGTTGGTTATTATATTTTTAGGTTAAATGAATTTTATGGTTCAAGTTATAGAATCAGGGACTGAGGTTCACCTATTAGAAATTAGGGTATGGCATCATGCTCAAATTCTGGTTAATTTGTGGCCTAAATAGTAAAACTCGACCGACGTATGGTAGTATGAACACATGCGTATATCACAAACCTACACAACTATCGAATTAGCCACTCATGGAGAAGAATATAGGAGATACATCAGTCGAAAGACAAGACTACCTTACTCTATAAAATGACGCTCTAGACGGAGAATGGCACCTAAGAACCATTCTACCCTCAAGCTCTGATCGATTATGATTTCTGGTGAGTTGTTCAAGAGACAGGTCTTTCCATTAGGTTTTCTAAGACATCTTCTAGGATGGAAACTCTTCTGATTGCTTATTGGAATATCTTCAAGTTAATTCAGAAGGAAGCAATATCCTATCAGATTAAGTCGAAATGGACCTTTTTTAAATTGGTGTTGGAGGCGCCATTTTTGCTTTTGGTTGACAATTTGGGTTGTCATTTCTAAGCTTGAGGTCCAACTCCATTTATTACGTCATGATGTCTCCAACTCAGACAAGGTGGTCAACTAGGGTGCTAGGGTGTATGGCCATCCGGCCTTGATCCAACGACGCGGGTTATGGGATTCCCTACGCTCGACGACGGAGGAGGTTGACATGGCATGGCTGCTAGCGGGAGACTTTAATTCGATGCCGAGCTCTTCCGAGAAGTTTGGGGGTGTGCCCTTTGATGCTAGCAGAGTAAGAGAGTTTCAAGATTGCTTGTTAGACACCGGCTTAGTTGACCTGGGGATCGCTGGGCCACCTTTTACTTGGTTTTGTGGGGGGGGCAAAGGAGCGCCTTGACCGTGGCTTAGCAAACCTGGACTGGACTACTCAATTTCTGGAAACGACAGTAAGACATCTTCCACGAGTCAGGTCGGACAACAGGCCTTTGCTGATTCGTACTTGCCCGGAGTTCCCATCGCCAGGGCCCAGGCCGTTCAAATTCCTGGCTTTGTGGCTGACTCACCAAGAATTCCCCAACTTGTTGAAGAAAACTTGGGCAAAGGGATCTGACTTTATAAGCAGCGCCCAAGCCTTTGCAAGGGATGCATCTCATTGGAATAGACATACATTTGGGCATGTCTTGTGTCAGAAAGATAACTTGATGTGGAGAATCGAAAAACTTGTGGAATAGTGGGGTGGGGACTCGGACCACGGCCAGCTCCTTGAGCTCCGCTCGGAATTGGAAGAGGTACTGATCCAAGAAGAGCTCGTGTGGCGATAGAAGTCGCGAGCCGACTGGGTAAAATGGGGCGATCTAAACACGAGGTACTTCAACGCCCGCACGATCCGAAGACGTAAGAGGAACCGAATCGTGGCCCTGAAGAATACCCAAGGCGAATGGGTGGAAGACCAAGATATCCTAAACCAAATGGCTAGATAATATTATATTGGCTTGTTTACTGATGATGGCTCACCTTCTTCTATCATGCATCAAAGATTTTCGCATATGCAGACGCCGCAGTGGGGAGAGTGATAGACCGTTAGTTACACATGTTTTTACCCCTGCTCTTACTCCGTTTGAGGTGTTGATTCTCGTGTTTTAGGCCGATTTCACGCTAGGTTGTGTTTGTTTGTGTTATTTCAGGTCCTAGTACGTGAATAAGGGCTTAGGAGCGAGTTTGGGGTCGATTGGACGACGAACGGAACGAAGGACGAGCTTGTTGGGGAGCCGCACCTGCCAGACCATGGAGACGCACGGCCGTGCACTTGCACCATATGGCCGTGCGCCTCATGCCGAGATCTTGCAACGGGCAAAGCAAAGAACCGCACGGCCGTGCAACATACAAACCTGGCCGTGCGGGTTGGTGCGAGAGCTTGCACGGGCACCAATCCAGATGTGCACGGCCGTGCGCCTGGCCGTGCAAGATGGATGAAGGCGAATAAATGAAACGGCGCGTTTTAGGGTGCAACGGCCAGAATGGTGATGTGCACGGCCGTGCACCCTGGCCGTGCAACTCGGGAAAACTGATTTTAAAGCCTAATTCGAGCAAACAGAAGGGGATTCGAGTTTTAGAGAGATAGAACGATTCCTAGAGAGAGAAAAGCGACGAACAAGAGTCTCCAAGTGCCTTAGATCGATCTTCAACACCATTGGAGCTTGGTTTGAGCTTGGAGAAGTGCCGATTCAACGTCCAGGAGCAAGAAATCCATCTTCACAGTATGATTTCCCGCGTCTGATTCTGCTTTTGCTTCTCTCTCCATGGAGTAGTTCTCCCATTCATCTGGGTGTGGGAAACCCTAGTTCTGTATGTTAGGTTCGATTGGTATGAACCCAAGTACTGATTCTGTGATTGATTATATTCGATTGAGGTTTTATGATTGAATGACTTGAATCCTGATCAAATTCCCTGTTGTTTCTGCTTTAACCTAGAATGAGAATATCTGCTAGGTTAATAGAGTATCCTTGATTGAAGGTAGTGATTGGTGACTTTAGTCGAGGAGCCAATCACTATTCGTACCGAATTGCACTCGGTAGTGGAGGTTTGTTCTTAGGGCCTCAATCTGTTTACTCCGGTGTAGGAGTCGCAGCTGGAGACTCAGATTGAGAGGGTCTGAAGACCTTTAGTCGAGACTTCAGACTGTTTGAGAACCTTCCGCAGTATAACTACATAGAAATTGAACTTGGTAATTACAATCCGGCTTAACTGCAGTCTAGGGGGAACCATATCGGGTGACCTCTCTTAACCTGAATACAACCGTTTTAGTTACTTTGCTTGCTTGTTAGTTTAGAACCTCACTAAAGTTTCATTGCTAGATAATACGAATTCACTGAGTAGTCATCACATCTAGGACCCGGGTTGACATTAAAACCCAAACCGCTATACTACGCTTTAGGAAGTGGTTTACACTTGGCCATTTCTAGAGTGACAGTAGAGTCGAGTCAAGTTTTTGGCGCCGTTGCCGGGGACGGCTAGGTTGTTGAAGAAAAGTGATTTCTGTTACTCTAGCTTTTCTTTTCGCTTTGTTTGCTTTGTCCCACTTGTGCCTTCACGGGTTTGCTTGCTTGAGTGTGTGCAGGTAGTGCATGACCCGTAGCCAGTCAGGAGGGTTACTGTTGGATCCAGAGCTTGAACGCACTTGCCGCCAACTTAGGAGACAGCAGCGAGCTAGACTGGTTACGGGAGAGCGCATAGACGGCCACTTAACCAGCGATTCTGAGGAAGAGTACGAGATGGAGGGCGAAGACATCCCACAACCGGGGAATGCTCGACAGGTTCCCCGGTGAATCAGCATCCACCACCACCGCCGGGTCCCACCTTGGAGTACTACTACACTCCACGGATTGCTGACATCCACCCGGTCATCCTCTATCCACCCGTCCCAGCAAATAACTTCGAGATCAAGCCAGGCTGGATTCAGCTCATCACATCCTCTATCCAGTTCCATGGCTTGAAGGATGAGGAAGCCCGGGCACACCTTTCCCGTTTTCTGCAGCTGACGAACGGGTTCAAGCTGAATGGTGTTCCGGATGAGGCAATCCGCCTTCACCTCTTCCCCCATTCTCTGGCGGGGAATGCTAAGAGGTGGTTGGAGACCCAGCCCCCATGTCCATCACTTCTTGGGACGATCTGGCGGATAAGTTCGTGCACAGATATTATCCGGCATCGAAGACTACTGAGATTCAGCGGGAGATCACTCACTTCCGCCAAGAGCCAGATGAGTCCCTTCGTGATGCATGGGAGCGGTACATGGGATACTTCTGGCAGTGTCCCCATCATGGCTTCAGCGATGCTTTCACAGTGGGGAACTTCTACAGTGCCATCACCCCAGACAGCCAGAGGGTGATCGAGTCTCTATGCCCAGGAGGGGATATCCTTACTAAGACTCCACCCGAGCTGAACCAGATGATCAGTACTTTAGCTGCCCGCGATCATTCCTGGGGGCAGAGCAGCAGAGGCAGGCACTCCGGGACCGTGGTGTGCACGCCATGGAGACCAGATCCGGGCTCGAGCAGCAGGTAGCTGAGCTAGTGCAGGCATTGAAGCAGCCCAACAGTCTTATTCCGGGCAGAAGTTTGGCTACACCTCCAGTTGCTCAGTGTCAGTGGTGTGTGAGAGCCCGAATCACCTCGTGGAGGATTGTCAGTCTATGAGGGAGTCATCTACTCCCCAAGAGCAGGTGGACTTCATAGCAAATGCTCGGCGCCTGGACCCATACAGCAACACTACAATGAGGGATGGCGCCAGCATCCCAACTTTGCCTGGAGCAATAACACCGCCAAGCCACCTGGTTTCCCAGCACCAGCAGGTGGTTTCCAGCAGAGGCAGCCCTTCCAGGCTAGGCAGGGGCCACCACCACAGCAGCAGCCTTACCAGCCTAGGCAAGGGCAGCCATTCCAGCAGCCTCAGCGTCAGTATGCCGAGCCAGCAGCAGCACCAGCTCCGATAATCAGATGACCAAGCTTGAGAACATTTTGGCAGCATTCATGACCACCAGCCAGGCAAATATCACGAGGATGGATCAGGCCATAGCTTCACTGGAGGCAGGCCAGAGGAACCAGGGTGCCATTCTGCAGGATCTCCAGCACCAGATAGGGGGCTTAGCTCGCCAGAACACTACGAGGGCACCGGGGACTCTGCCTGCCACCACTGTCCCCAATCCTCGCGACCCTCACGAGACTGCCCATGTCATCACCACCAGGAGTGGCAAGACCATATCTGCTG